TGATCGTATAGTTCTCTCTTAATCGTGCCTGTGGGTTGTGCAGGAGGGGAAAGTAAAGTAAAAGGGGTTAGAAAGACTACCTCTGTCAAGATCATCTGTTGAGTAAGAGAAAGAGCAGAAAGGGGAAAAGTTCAGAAGAAAATTGTGAAAAACATACAGAAGATGACAGTGAAAGTCTCTCCTCCTGACAGGACAGGCTGTATTTTATCATGTCCAGACATGAACATTAGGCTTTTCCAATAAACTACTAGTAAAATTACTCTGTGCTCCATGGAAGCAGCAAGTATAGTTACTCAGGGAACATCTAGAAGTCTCAAAAATGCCTGCTGACAACCAACAGCATTTCTCTGCCTGTTCCATGGGTGACATGGTTTGGGTGGAAAAACCATTGATAGGTAGAGGTGTTCAGGATATGGAAGGGATAGGTGAGGTCTAGAGTAATTCTGGAAACGTTACTGTAGAGATGGGTCCTGGCTAGAAGAAGATGACTGTGGAGTTTGGGCTGGTGAGACAGCCATTCTGGGATGACAGAGGACGTTTCACTAGGACAGAGAAGCCAGGAAGAGTTTTGCATTTCTGCCTTTGAATATGTGCTATGTTTATATTGCCTTTTGTGTGTTTGTTTTTATCTTACAGAAACAATTTTGAAAAAATAAGATATACAAATGGTATGTTACAAACTTTGAAAAAAGGATTTTGAAAAAGATCTATAATGACTTACTTGCTTTGCACCAGTTTTAAGTGTCCTGCATGTTGGATGTAAATCTAATAAGTTGCTTCTAATGGTTGCATAAAGCCCCATATCACACACCCACGACTATTTCTGAACATTGTATAGCAATATATATTAAGTGCATTTAATTACTATGAAACACTGACTGACACACTTGCAAAAGTACAATAGTGTCTGTCATTCTTTACATGATCAAGACATCTGCCATGACATACCCAACTTAGCTTGTTTGTAGTTAGGCATGGGTACACACTATTCAAGAACTATAACAAAAAATAATCTGCCGCTGTATTGCTCCCCAAATGGTTATATTCATCTGTACTCTCAACAAAAATGCAACTTAGTTATATATGAAAATAAAATAGGTTTTATGAGTTTGTTGAATTTAAGTCAAAAAGGAAGGGCAGTTTAGCTCGAAAAAAATCTATCAACATAATTTATCACATTTAAAGATAAAGAAGAAAACCATATAATCACATCAACATATCAGAAAAAGTCCTTGACAATAATTCAATGTCCACTAATGAGAAAACAATTTTTAAAATAAGACTTCCTCAATCTAACAGGAAAAAAATCTATATCAAATATCATACATTTAATTAATCACAGTGAGATATTGAGACCAAGTCAAAGCTTCCCCTATGGTGACTTCACCTTACCTTTGATTTGGACACAGGCTTATGTTTGAACGGTAGGAAGGTAACAGAGAATAGTCGATAAGCCATGGGGAGGGGTGGACAGAAGTGCTGGGAACTTTCTGGGGTAATAGACTATTCCTATTAATTCTACATTGCCATATATATTGGCTAATATTCATAAAGCTGTGCACTTAAAATACAGGTATCCTTATTGCATATATGATATACAGCTGTATATATCACATATGCAATAATATATATATAATAACAACAGAGTTTAAAATACAAAAAAGCTACACTATTCCTAGTCAGTAAACTCAACAATGCCTGTACCAGGTAGCAACACTGTAATGGGACATGGACTACAAATTGGTGAAATACTGACAGCAGATGCAGACATGTTGGACTACATGAACAGCAAAAACAACAAAATATCCCAAATGCAGTCACTCAAATGACAAAGAGGTTTATTTCACTTTATGTCACCCCAGAAGCCAGGCATCCACCCTGGAAGCTCTGGCATCCTCTGCCAATAATCTCAAGCTGGAGTTGAGTAACAACTCCCCAAAATGGGCCAGTAAGGCAATCAATTACATTCTGAAAACCAATTATGTTTTGTTTTCTTTAAATAAATTTACATGAACTTGCATCATCTCATCACTTATGAATAGTGAGGATAAAGCATGAATCATTAACAGTACCTGTGACTCAGACACCAGTTGAAAACATGGATTGTTTCATATCACAATATAATTAACACATAATCTTATAGTTAAGACATAATCTTATAGTTAATGCATATCACTCATACTTAACACTACTTGAAAAATATTTTCAAAAATATTATACCTGGGCCTCCCCAGTGGCGCAGTGTTTAGGACGGGGTTGCGAAGCTGCCCGCAGCCTCTGCAGCGCCGGTTCAATCCCCGGCTGCTCCCGGGCCACCAGAGGAGGGTCCCACATGGCGCGCAGACCTCTCCTGCTGCCCGCTGCTCCCCTCAGCAGTGTACTTCGGTCCTTCTGCCTGCTCTGCTCCCCGCTCTGGCTCTGGTGAATTCTCTCACCCTCCTGTGCTTCTGACTGTACCCAGTGCATGTACAAACAAACAAACAAACAAACAAACAAATAAATAAATAAAAATACATGCCTCTTTAAAAAAAAAAAAATTATACCTGCCTGCTAAATCCTGTTCCTTAGTGTACTAACAAAAATAAAAATGCTATGCAACTATATAACAAGTTAGGTTATTTAAAATTTGATATTTGATAATTATACTGAGATAATTGCATTTTATAATAATTCCATATACTATTAATATAAGGGACTATGGTGATAGTGCACGGGTGAATTGGTGGTGGGAATTTCACAGGAAATCATGCATTGTACAAAAATGAAGGATGATGTTTATATATATATGTGTATATATATATATATATATATATATATATATATATATAATCTTTTAAATGTTTTCTGGAGAAGAGGTTCAAGGGCCTCCCTCATAGCCTAGGGATTAAGTCTCACTGCTATCACTGCTACAGCATGAGTTCAATCCCCAGGCAGGGAGCTAACCCACATATGGTGTAGCAGACCTCTCCTGTCTTACCCGTTACTCCCCTTAGAAGGGTATTTCAGTAAATCTGCTATTCTGGTCTCTACTCTGTCTCTGGTGAATCCTCTCACCCCATGCCACTCTGGTCTATACCCCAGTTCTTCTATGCAAAAATAAATGGAAAAAAAAGAGATAAGGGCCTCTTCACACTAGCAAAGGACCCGAGTTACAAAGAGCTTTACAAAGCTAGCCCCTATGCTAGGATATCATCACCTCCCTGGGCAAAGCTAGACCATGGCCCCACCTCCTTGGCATCAAGTAGGAAGGAAAAAAGAAGAGGAAGGAATCATACTGTGTCCTGAAGGGAAAGGTCAGGATAAGGGCACACACTATCTGAGTGAATGGCAGAGACTAGGTCCCATGGCCACCCCCAAGCACACTGGAGACTGAAAAACACAAATACTGTTTTGTCGGTGTCAGGGAGCAAAACTTACTGGAACATTCTTTCAATCCCTGTGACACATGAAGTACTGGGAACGATATCCAGAGGAACAACAAATGGAACCACCGAACGACTCAACAGTGAGCAAAGCAAAAGAATTGTATTAAGGAAACAGGGCAGCTCCTGGGAGCAAAGTTGCAAAGGTTAAACAAACTAATTACAATGAACTAAAAATCAAAATCAACAGGCAACTATAAACCAGAGACATTCTGCAGGTGGGGAGAAGGGAGTAGGATCATGTGTGAATGGGTGGTGGGAATTTTACGGTAACTACAACTAAGATGAAAATGCATACATTGCATAAAACTGAAAAATGATGTAAAAATATATTTAAAAAATAAAAACAAACACAAAAAATGCAAATACTGTATGGGAAAAAAAAAAAAAAGGAGAAGAAATAGGTGAGCTTCTGCTAGCAGCAAACAGGCCTGAGAACATTTAAGCAAGGGCAGATAAGAAGCAGAATAGCTCCCTGCCTGGGAGGGGTCCCAAAAAGGGCAGCCACTGGATGAAAACAGCATCGAGTTTTTATAATTATGCTCCTAGTGAATGAGCTATGGTGGTCTCAGTTTCTTGATTAGTCAATCTCCTAACATAGATTAACTGGTGATAGTATTTTGAGCTTTTTTCTTGTTATTAACTTTCTCTTCCTGTTACGTCTCTGAGGCCCCAGTTCCTATCTTCCTGTCAAGGTCTAACACCTCATCTGGGATTGGGTCTGAAAATTACACTGGCAATTACAGTTTAACAGGAGAAAAGCATACAAATATACTTCATTCCAAGCTGGTGACATAGTACCACAAATGACGTAGAACCTATATCTCTGTCTAGACATTTTTTCAGAGCCCCCTCCCGATAGTTAAAGCACCCCCACACAGAGATGACAACCTGCATGTCCTGGAAGGTTGGAAGGAAAAGCAAGTATCCAGAAATACAAGAGACAAACAGGACACAATAGCTGCTCCTGGAAGAGAAAGGATCAGAAAACAACAGTTACCCCAATGTTTTAATCAGAGTCACTGTCTAAAAAACTAAATCTTACAAATCTTTTCCTCCTTCTGATTAAATTTGGAAAAGAAGGAACTATGTGAAATTTTACCATCCTCTCTAGTAGGCATGAGAGACAGATCCAAGAGAGCTGAACTTGGTGAGAATTCTTATCTTCCTACATCTTCTGTCAATTTTCCAGGATCACAACTGCTGGATCCCAGCAAACAGGGTGTCTCGGTGATCACCAAACTGCAGGGAAGGAAAGGTAATAATTTCCCTCCTGTCTTCTAAATTATTTTTTTAATTATTTAATGTTGTGTTTTTAACCTCAATTTCTGTTTTTTACATTTAAAGCAGTTGCCTTAAGCATTTTCCTTGAAGTTGTCTCCTATTAACTCAGAATTTTTTATTAAACTTATTTTCTTATATCATTGTTCATTTTTACATGGTATTTGATTTTCTCCCCTCAGATGTAATCCCCACAGTTTTCCCACCACCATAGCACCTGCGATCCATCACCACGGTCCCTTGTGCTCTTCCATCCCGCATTTGGACCCCTCTCCCACCTACGCTATATGACTCAGATCGGTCAGCTTGAATGGTTTGTCTTTTTCCTGACCTTGTGCTCAGCTCCTCTATATTCCACATGTAAGTGACCTAACCAATATTTATCATTTTTCTTCTCACTTACTTTATTTAGCATAACCCCATTTAGCATAGAACTCCATCCATGTTGCCAAAAATGGCATGAGTTTATCCTTTTTGATGGCTAAGTAGTATTCCATTGTATATACATACCACATCTTCTTGATCCATTCATCTGTTCTGGAACACTTGTGTTCTTTCCATATGTTACATAATTGAGCCTCCAAGCCCATAATTAAAGAAGACAGATTAATAGGGAATAAACAAAATTGTAATTTTATATATATAAGGAGAAACAAAGTTATGAGATTCAAAAGACAGCCAGGCAACTGAAGCAACCTGAGGTAAATAAAGGGAGGAGAATCTGGGTCTTCAAAGGCCGGGGCATGTGATTCACAAGATGCACTTGCCCAGTCATGCCGGTGAGTCTCTCAGATAAAATGTGATCTCCGGTTACAACCCTCTTCCTGGCTACAAGACCCATTCCTAAAGCAATTTCCTCACCAAAGAGTAATTTTTATTCTATTTTCAGAACTTGCCTTGTATCTGAAATGTCTCAGAATAATCAGCTCAAGATAATCCTTATGCCAGAAAGGCATATTTAGGGGTGACATAGTCTGGCACCCTTCAACAGCAAAGATAAATGTAATAGTTATGTGAACACAATAGTTCACATAACTAGTTGGACCCCTAGTCAACATAGTTATGTTGACCAAAACTATCGAGGAAATCACAATGCATGTTCAAGCTAAAGTTCAAAGGATGAATAGGAATTTTCCAAGTTTACCAGCAAGCATGGTGGGGTGTAGGGGTCCCAGCAGCAGTGAGGGAAGAGGGGATGAGAACTTCAGGCAAAGACTGAGAGACCAGTAAGAACTGCTTGTGTCCACTGTTGTTTTCTAACACTACATCAATGTCTATGTCTTTCATTCTCCTTCTCTCTAGCACATTCCATGTTACCTGACATGTTAGGTAAGTACTCCAGATTTTTTTTTGAGTAAATAAACAGAATAAATTTGAAGATTTATAGAAAGGAAATTGACAATCTAATATGTTAATAATAATCATAACTTTTTCATAAATACTCTTGAAACTCATGTATTGCCACTACTTCCTAGGTGAGGAAACAAGAATCAGTCTATGAAATTCTCTTAAGAGAAGACCTGGGTCAAGCTCTGCAGTGGTTGTGGCAGAGAGTCTCAAAGTAACCCCTGTACTCTGATTTTAAGTTTCCCTGTTCAACATGCTCTTTGCACATTCTGAGAAAGGGTGAAGTTTCAGGGAGCGGTAGTTGAAGTTGATTGGAAACGCAGGGTTTGGTTTTAAATTACTCATTCAATACATGGTTTGTTGGGCCCTATGCTAGGCACTGGATAGAAGGTGAGGGCCTTTACTGCAGCTCTTTAGTAACTGAAGGTCTTTGTCATTCAGAGAGGAAACAAACCTTTGCAAAGCTGTGTGTGACCAAGAGTAGAGCTGTGAACTTTTCCTCTCTCCTACATTCATTATTTTTTTGTTCCCAAGAAACAATCTGGTCTCAGAACTCAACAGCATGCTCCTGTAAGTCAGTCATAGTGCATTGCTGAGGGGTGACTTACCAGAAGTTGTGATTGTGTGCTGCGTTGTGTCCTACATTGTCATTTCAGACTCCCCTTAGGGTGACCTTAGATAGAACCCTAAGATACAAGCTGTCCCTCTGTCATCTAGTTTCTGCTTTGCATGTGCAGCCAGTGTTTCTGCTCTGCACCAACCAGATTCAAACAGAGCATCTCTTTGGATCCTGTAAATGACTTCATTACACCTAAGCTTTTCTCTAATGTAGAGTTCACCAAAACTGAAGTAAGACATAGAGGGGAGAGGTTTGCATCGTGTTCCCCAGAAAAAGCAGGGAATCTGATTTCTCTTCTCTATGACCATCCTAACATGGACATTGGGGAAGAGCTGATTCTGCCCCCCTCACTTTCTCTCCCCTTCCCATCTCCTCCCACCTCCTTCTCTTTCCTTTTGCTCCAACTCATTTAGCCGTGTTCAATCATCTCTTCTTTGCTATACAGAGTAATTCAGTCTTGAAGGAATTTCCACTTCAAAATGTCATGCTTGGTGACCAGCAAAGTCAAAGTTACCTGTCCCACCTCCCCACCTAGTTAATGTGGGCAATTTTCTTGATGGGCACTATAGATTTTTTTTTTAAAATAACATCATCATATTCCTTTGGTTCATCAACTACCTCCTCCAACAGAGAGACTGGTGAAATAATTTTTGTGCTTCTCATAATTGTGGCACATGCTATATCTGAGCAAATACTGAGTTAGGGACAGAACATCTAGGGGCATTCACCTCCCACTTCAGAGTCAGGGAAGGAAGAATCATTACTCCTCATTAAAACTTACATGAGCAGCAAAACTTAGATGAGTATTATCAGTTGTTGGTTATGAGAGGGAAGAAGTAAGTGGTTCACAGTGGAGGACCAAAATCTCAGAGGTGACAAATGCCCAAAAATAGATGGATCAAGAAGATGTTTACACAATGGAATACTACTCAGTGACCAAAAAAGATAAACTCATGCCATTCACAGCAACGTGGATGGAGCAAGAAGAGATTATGCTCAGTGAAATAAGCCAGAAGGAAAAAGAAAAATATCAGATGGTTTCACTTATAGGAAGAATATAGGGGAACCAAATAAGACATCAAGGGAAAAAATAACAATACAATACACAACAAAACAAAAACAGACAACTATAAACAGAGACATCCTGCAGGAAGAGGAACGACAGGGATCAGAGGGAGGGAGGGAGGAGCACAGGATACTGAGGTGATGGCTCATGGGTGCATTGGTGAAGGAAACTCTATGGGGACTACTACTCTCTGGGTGGATAGGGGAGCAAATATTGTTTTAAAATGAACAATGGAGCCTCCCCTAGTGGCCTGGGCTGTTGAGCACAGTGCTGCAGCGCAGGTTAGATCCCGGCGGGCCAGGGAGCCTGCTGCTCTCCTCAGCAGTGTATTTTATCAGTCTGCCTGTTCTGTTCCCCACTCTGGCTCTGGTGAATCCTCTCACCCTCCCACGCACCTGGCCTGTACCCCAGTTCTTGTACAAATAAATAAATCTTTAAAAAAATAAATAAAAATAAAAATGTACAATGGTGTAAAAAATATATAAATTAATAAATTTTAAACAACAACAAAAAAAATCTTGGACCAAAAAAAAAAAAAATCTCAGAGGTGAATTACAAGATAAGAACAGAACATGAGGACATTTCCCTCTGACGCAATCCCCTCTCTTGTCTTCTCTCCTAGGACACTCATCATGTGCTCAAAGGTGATGTTGCAAAGAGTGCTGATGCTGCTGTTCTTAATAGGTTCATCGATTGTTATTATAATTTATCAAAAATCCACGAAGGTAGAGTTTTTTTCCATTTTGGAAGAGTTTTGTCCATTTTGACTTGACGTTTCCAGCTTTGAGTGGCCTGTCTCAAGTCAGTCCCTAATGCTCCTTCCTTCCTGCTTTCCTTCCTTGTCACTCCAACTCGGCTGTTTCTTCTCCCCTTCTTCACTTTGTTTTCTCAGATGAATTGTGGACACACTATTTCCATTTTCTACATTTCATTCATCCTCAACCCATTCTAATCAGGATTCCATCTCTAATGAACCACCCCAACACCTCCGCCATGACCCTTGTAAAGGCACCACTAAATCCCGGTGTGTATATGGCCTTACCTTGTAAAACAGTTTTCATTTTGCTTTTTCATCTATAATTTCACTTTTTCCCTCACCACTGTGTCCTAGATCCCTTTAACCCTTTCTCCTTCTCCACTTTTTACATGATGAATTTATCTATTAGACTACCTCTACTGAAGTCAAATTTATAGATTGTCTTACCTCAATTATCTATTTTTCCTTAGAGTTTCCTATGTATTTGCTTAAAATTGCAAAGGTATTTTTTATAATTTTTTAAATGTCCCTCTTTAGTGCTTTCCTCATAAGTTTTTTTTTTAATTTTGCATTTTCTTTTTCTTCCTTTTGTATTACTTAGATTAGCTGGTAATTATCTGTTTTGTTAATTTTTTACAAGAGAGTTTTATATTTATTTTATTTCTCTATTTTGAATACATTGATTTTACTTTTACTTTTCTATCAATTACCTACTCTTGCTTTTGATTTATTTTTTTTTAATTTTTAGTTCTGTTGAATTCATTTTTCCTATACACACACACATGCACGCACACACATGCACGCATGCACAAACACACACATAGGAATATGTTCCAGTATCTTCAGGGATGCCTGAAACTGTGGCCGGTACCAAACCATACAGGTGCTGTTTTATCCTATACATACCTGTAACAAAGTGTAACTTATGAATTTTACAGATTAAACATGGAATACCACAAAGTAATAAAATCCAACACTGTAACAATACACTGTGAGGAATATGGGGAAGTTAAAAGTTACCCGAATGTGATCTAAATCTCTCAAAACATCTTATGGTATGCAGAATTTTCAGAGTGTGCTGGATCATAAGAAACTGAAACCACATAAGTAAAACTGCATGATGGGGGACTACTGAACATATATATATGCACACACACAATGCTAAATATGTTTAATGCTATAAATTTCCATATGATATTTGTGTAAGCTGTATCTCATACATTCTGGCATGTGTTAACCATGTCATTTTCATGTGTTAACCCTATCATTTCATTTTGAATGTTTCTTTGACTAAAGACTTATTTAGAAACTATTTTTTTCAAACTTTGGGTGGAACAGTGTTTTGAGGTTTTAAATGAATTTCCAAAGAACTGCTTTTGGTTTCATTGATCTTTTGGGTTGTTTTTTTAGTTTCGATTTCATTTATATTTGCTTTGGTTTTTATTATTTCTTTTTTTCTACTGGTTTTGGGGGGGGGTTTGTTGTTCTTTTTCTAGTTCTTTGAGCTTTGAGATTAGGTTGTCTCTTTGAGTTCTTTCTTGTTTCTTGATATGAGCCTCTATTGCTATATATTTCCTCTTATTACTGCTTTTGTTGCATCCCATACATTAAGGAAATTGGTGTCCTCCTTGTCATTCAAGTCAAAGAATTTTTTTTAAAATTAGAATGATTTTTCCCTTTAATTAATTAATTAATTAATTATTTTTTTTGTTTCTACAAGTACTGGGTACAGTCAGAAGCGCGGGAGTGTGAGAGAATTCACCAGAGCCAGAGCGGGGAGCAGAGCAGGCAGAAGGACCAAAGTACACTGCTGAGGGGAGCAGCAAGCGGCAGGAGAGGTCTGCGCGCCATGTGGGACCCTCCTCCGGTGGCAGGGGAGCAGCCGGGGATCGAACCAGCGCTGCAGAGGCCACTGGCAGCTTTGCAACCCAGTGCTCAACCACTGCGCCACCAGGGAGGCCCTTAAAGAATTTTTTTATTTCTTCTTTGATCTCCTCATTAGTCCAGTGGTCTTCCAGTAGTGTGGTTTTTAATCTCCATGAGGTAGGAGAGTTCCTTGCCTTCTTTTTATGGTTTATTCCTAGTTTGATGCCTTCATGGTCAGAGAAGATGGTTGGTATGATTTCGATCTTGGTGTATCTGTTGATGTTTGTCTTATGTCCCAGTATGTGATTGATCCTGGAGAATGATCCATGTGCGCTTGAGAAAAATGTATACTCAGATTTTTTGGGGTTTAGTGTTCTGTAGATGTCTGTTAAGCCCAAGTGTTCTAGATCCTTATTTAGAGCTTTGGTGTCTTTACTTATTTTTGTCTCATTGATCTATCCATTGTTGATAGTGGTGTGCTGAAGTCTCCTACTACGTATGTGTTTTCTCTGATGTCTGTTTTCAGAGATGACAATAGTTGTCTGATATATTTTGGTGCTCCTTCGTTTGGTGAATATATGTTAATGAGTGTTATTTCTTCTTGAAGTATTGTCCCCTTGATCATAATGTAGTGACCATTGGGGTCTCTTTTTACCTTTTTGAGTTTGAAATCTGTTCTATCTGATATAAGCATAGCTGTTCCTGCTTTCTTTTTTGGTCCATTTGCTTGTAGGATTGTTTTCAATCCTTTAACTTTGAGTCTATTTTTATCTTTTGTAGCTAAATGTGTTTCCTGGAGACAGCAAAAGGTTGGGTTTTGTTTCTTAATCCAGCCTGCAACTCTCCTTTTTATTGAGGAGTTTAGTCCATTTACATTTAGAGTTAATATTGATATGTTAGCATCTGTATTTGCCATTGTGTTTGTCTTTCCTCTGGTTTTATTTTTTTATTCTTTTAATAACTTTTTCTTGGACTTCTTTCATTGTTATTCATCCCTCTGTTGGTTCTGGCTTTAGGACTCCTTGTAGTATTTTTTGGAGTAGGGGGTTAGTAGTAATGAAATTCCAGAGTTTATGAATTTCCTTCAATATCTGCATTAAAATCAAACCATGGTGTTTTCATTATTATTTCTATGAGTAGTTATTAAGGTTTTAGTTCTAAAATATAAACATTTGTACAACTTTCATATATTTCTTGAAAAAGAAGATGTATTCTCTATTATAGGAAGTCAGTGTTCATTATGTATCTTCAAGAGCCACTGCACTGACTGAGCTATTTAGGTCTTTCATAAACTTACTATTTTGGACCACTAGTTATGTCTTAGACATATGATGTCTTTCTTTACTTAAATAGTTAAGAAAGGTCCTATAGTTAAATAGTTAAGAAAGGTCCTATAGTTTCTATTTTGCAAATATACTGCTTAATAAATGTGATGGATGCATAAATATTAATCATTTGTGAATTAATTATCCAGCACTTTAAAATTACTTTCAAGGAAAATTAATGATTAAGATTTTTATAGTTTTTAACTCAGATATTTTAAAAATGCACTAAATAGAGATTCAAAAAAGTCTATTTTGTAGGTCTAGTGTTGAAAGTATAGGAAGGAAACTCTTAAGTTGTGATTTCTAAGTTAGAAGTTAAGTTTAGGGCACTGGAGGGAAATGTGTAGTTTAAAAACAACCTAGGATGAAGGAAATAGTATCAAAACAAGGGGGATGGGAATTTTATGGGGACTATAACCAAGATGCAAATGCATAGATGATGCAAAAATGAAAAATAATGTAAAAAATATATAAAATTAAACTTAAAAAAAAACCCAGGATGAGAAAGACATTTTCTTAAACAGCAAGAGCTGAAAGAAAGGAAGTTCAACTCTTGAAGATGAAAAGAGTTCCTCTAAAACAGAGTGCAAGAGAAGGAACAAGAGAGCAAGCAGGAACAAGAGGAGCAGCAGGAACAAGAGAGTAAAATAAATGACAAAACTTGAAGCCTATCAAGTAGGGACTTAACCTTAAGACATATGGAAGGGAAGCAATGGAAGAAGCTTAGCCAGGGAAGAGACAGGAATAGAAATTTGTTTCAGAAGGACTGAAATTGGTTACAAGGAAGAAAATTAATTGGAAAATAAGCAGATCTAAAGACAGTCTTCATCCTTGAAATGACTACAGTACTCCAGGAGATAAATAATGGCAGCTAGAAGTACAACACATTTGGGGCAGAAAAGACTAAAAGCATAAGAAAAAGACACATAGAAAAGATACATAGAGACTAAAAGCATAAGAAAAAGACACATTTGGGGCAGAAGAGACTAAAAGCATGAGAAAAAGACACACATAGACACATAGCAGAAATTAGTGATACCTGAATATCAAATATATTAAAAAAGGAAAAGTAAATGTACCAGAATCAATATATTACTCAAGTATTATATCTCAATTCCATATTTTTGAATTCAATATATTTATCAATAACTACTCTGGCATTCTGTAAAATATTGAGGCTAAAGGATAAATGTTTAAATAAATTATCTGAGTTTAAATAATACTGGCAATGATAATAAGTAAATAAATATCCAAACTCAAAAAATAAAATTGACTTGACAGGTTCATGTGATCGTACCTCCCACTGCTTGTCATTTCAGGTTTCCTGGGCTCTGAACTTGGGCATCTCCGCTCATCCCTCATGCCCAACCCTACCACTGAGCACTCCAAAGTCACCGACAGAGACTGAGCTGAGAATAAAGGGGATCCTGGAGAAACTAGACCGGCTAATGCCGCCCAGACCCTTCACCCACCTGAACGCCACCACCAGCGCCGCACACAGCACAGTCACCATCCTCAACCCCCGAGACTCGTACTGCAGGGGTGATCGCCTGGACGTCCTGCTGGAGGCGAGGGACCACCTGGGGCGCAGGAAAGACTATGGTAGGGACTTCCTGAGGGCCCGCATGTCCTCTCCCGCCCTCAAGGCCGGCGCCTCGGGAAAGGTGACAGATTTGAACAATGGCACCTACCTGGTCAGCTTCACCCTGTTCTGGGAGGGTCGGGTCTCCCTGTCTCTCCTACTCATCCACCCCAGCGAAGGGGTGTCAGCTCTCTGGAGGGCGAGGAACCAAGGCTATGACAAGATTATTTTCAATGGTAAATTTGTTAATGGCACCACCCATGTCTTCACTGAATGTGGCTTCACTCTAAACTCAAGCGCTGAGCTCTGCACGTACCTGGATACTCAAGATGAAAAAGCCTTTTACTGTGTGAAACCTCCATATTTTCCCTGTGAAGCTCTTACTCATATGACCACCAAGAATCGAGACCTTTCTTATCTTACTGACAAGGAAAAAACGCTTTTTCATGGGTAAGCATCCGGTTATATGCACTGAGAAGGGCGCCCCATGAACTATAGTATCCATCTCAATTACTATTGAGAAGACCCTTCAGATGCCTCTTCTACCCAAGGTCTGGTCAGGTGTGTGGTGTCTCCATGCGCCCCCATTCATGTCTCCCACTGCCATGGTGGACTTTTTACTGGAATGTTCATGCAAGAGGTCTACACAAGGTAGAACTCTAAAATATGTGCCTGTACCTCCCTATTCTTAGACCCAGCCATGTCATTTTCTTTACTACACATCTAGGTTTTATAAAATGTATTCTTTTTGGCAGGGGACCCCAATATCAGTATTGATTTTTTTCTATTATTTCTTTATATTTATTTTACATCATTGTTTAATTTTGTACAGTTTGCTTTCTCATCTCAGATGTAGCTGCACAAAATTCCCAACACCAAGTCACTCATTAACCATCACCGTAGTCTCTTGTGCTCCTCCCATCCCTGTTTTAATCCCTCTCCCTCACCATCCCTTGCTGAATGTCTCTGATTTATCTTTTGCTTGCTAGTTATGTCTTTTTTTCCTCTGACCCCTTACTTGGTTCCCCTATATTCCTCCTATAAATGAAACCATCTGATATTTTTCTTTTTCCTTCTGACTTATCTCACTAAGCATAATCCTCTACAGCTCCATTCATGTTGCTGCAAATGGCATGATTTTATCTTTTTTGATTGCTGAGTACTATTCTATTGTGTGTATATACCACATCTTCTTGATCCAGTCAATTGTTTTTGGGCATTTAGGTTGTTTCCATATTTAAGCTATTATAATAAGATGAATTTTATGGGAAAGTATCATTCTGTGTTGCACAAAAAAAAAAAGATTCCTTGAGAAGTGTGCAAAACATCCGTACCATATTTCTACACCATATTCATACACTGTACATCCTGTCTTTTAAATATTGCTTATGGCGCTACCATTATTCTGTATAGATAGTGTTGTTATGTGAGCTGACATCATCATCATCTCATCTAGATTACCTGTAAGAGACTCCCACCTGCTAATCACCTTCTCTAATCCATTACTTACTCTGTTGCCTGAGAGGTTGTTCCAAAAAGCCAATTCCTTTGGTCATAGCCATTTGACCTCAAGATCAGACACTCCTTAGTGCATACTGCTCAGGTTGGAGGAGTCCTTCCTCTTCCCCAGGGAGTGATTCAGTGACTCTTAGAAGCTCCACATACTAATGTGTGTGCATATTTATCCCATTGTCATGGCTGTATCAGCATTGCCTTTCTCTCCTTGCTCCCAAACTGCTCCTCATGTCTTGGTCTCCCAGTTCTCCACTAAGGTAGAAAATACTTTATGGCTTAAAATGAACTGTGATGGCCTCTAATGAGGCACTTGGAGAATTTTCAAAGAGTGACTGTATGTCACCACAACTCCTAGAACCTGCTGGAAAAGTCCTGAATCCATTTATCAGTTCTAGACACCTTTGCTCATTTGCTAATTTTCTATAGTCTTGGGGGCTCTGTCCATTTTCTGTCCCCTTTCCATTCTACTAGTATCCATTTTTTCCTTGAGGATTCGATTTTCTTAAGTTTGGTAACAAAGTAGAATGCTAGGTTCTCAACAATCTCTTTGCTAGCAGTTTCCAAAGTCAAGCTTACAGTGTCTCCCCCTTACTCTCTTAAAAAATATATGCTAAGAAAAATAGTCAATACCAATATGGGAAAATAATATGTATTCCAGATTCTTACTAAGTCAATCAAGTTTTTGTCTCCTGATCTATAGTCTGTGAATTCCTACAGAAAGAGGTAAAAGCACAGTTGGGTTTTGGTATTTTCCCCTTCTGATTTCTGATAGCGTAGGTCAACAAATCGCTTCCCACCTGCTAACCATCTCTATACCTAATCCCAGAAAGGATGAACATGTGCTAATCCCTTTCCTTATTTGGACTGAAATTGAAGATTCAACATATCAGAGAATGGGATACCAAGTATATCTGTTTACCTGGCCCCCGGGTCCCCTGTCCTTCTGCCTGGCATGGGATTAGCAGGATTGAAATGAAGAGCAAGTGAAAAGGAAGATGAGTGTCTAGTCTTTTCTCAACTAGAGGAAAAAATGTAATGGTCTGAACACTACTTACTGTTGGCCACTTGACAGATTTAGTGAGACAGCAGTGGATCAAGCAATTGCACTGTTTTCCTGCATAAAACTAATAATCATCAGAAAGCAACTTTCTAGTGGAAACTGAAGGTAAACATTGCAGGATTCATGGATAAATTATTAGGAATTTTGTCATAAGAGGTCTTTCTGCCATGCTAAGGAGACATAACTCCTTAGATAATGGAAGAGGAGATGGTATTAAAAATTAATGCTGTTGCATTTGCAGATAGAAAGGCTATTCTAGAAGTAGTGTTGCCAGCGTGATCAATTCAAGTCTCACAGCATCCAAGACAAATACATGAACTTGAATAAATGATGTAGAAGCAGCAAGAGATGAGAACTTGCAAGTTATAAATACTTTCAGTCTAAAATTCCAGACCACACTGGTTGTATGTGGTATGTGAGGAGAACTTCCTTGGACTGGAAATACATTTGGAGAACAGATAGTCTTCCAGAATCTTCATTTATATACAGTACCCTTCATAAACAAAATTTACAACAATCAAATATTCAGTTGTAAAAAAAGTATCCTATTATCCGTATTGTAGGGACAAACATCAAATTAATTTATTGCCCTATTTTTTGAAGGTCCAACGTGGGAGTTGAAATAATAAAACAGCTTAAACACATTGATGTCTCTCAATGTAACAGTAAGTAGCTCTATCCTATGGTAGGTGGTGTTTGATGCCTGGCTTGGAAATTTTAAGAAATGTCTTATCAGAGGAATATATCAGTATTATCCTAGCAATCATCATTTTCCAGGAGTACAGTTCCTAGTAGATGTGCTCCATCTGTGAAAACCTTCTGATCACTCAAGCAAAAGCCTCTTGACAGGTCTAAGCATCTAGCTATCCAGACAGGCCTAGCTCTATTTCTGAATCTAGGGAGAGGGTGCTTAGGCTCAAGTATCTATGTTATTTATTCTATCTGCAAATCCCCTGGGTGAAACTAGAATTCAACAGCTTTAATTACTCACAGAATTATTTAGGGATTCTTCTTTTGAATGCAAAACTCAAGCTCAAACTTTTTTTAAAACAACCAAAAGATCCATACCAGAATATTTTAGAAATTTATATGAAAATAGGACAATCTAACTTACTGCCTTACTAAGCATAGACTTGTCTAGGTAAGCCATAGCAGAAAAATAAGAATATGGGATACCAACATGTTCCTTTATAAATATATTATATATATACTATATATACTATATATAATATATACTATTATATATTTTATATACTATATATATTACATATAGTAGTATCATATATATTATATAGTATTATATGTTATATACTATATATTATATATTATATATATTATATACTATATATCTATATAGTATATATCGTATATATAGTATATATCTATATATACTATATATAGTATATCTATATATCATATACTATATATACTATATATCTTATATACTATATATAATATATATTATATACGATATATAGTATATATAGTCTATATATATTGACATGAAATATGTTATAAACAGAGTTTGAAATAGTTTTCTTGAATTAATCTCTCTCTTTGAAATCCAAGATAAGTGATATCAGAGACACCTACTAGAACTGTATTGGGTCCTTGGGCATTTCATTCCCACCCCAGCTATTATAGCCCCAGTGACAATTCTAACAGCATCAAGAAGCATCTTCAACAGCCAGAACAAAAAGAGGACAGTAGCAGTAGTGGAAAACACTTATATTTAAACCTGGGAGTGCAAATTCAAAGTCAGTGATTATGTCCAAGGCACAAAAATGTCTTTTATGGATACCCACAACTTTAAAGTAGAAACAACTTTGGTTTAGGAATCTTAACTCCCTGTTTTCATAGCCTTCTAGTATTTAGTTGATGCACTTAACAGTTTTGATGAAGTTTCCATTTTGCTAAATGCTCTTTAGTAGCAGACAAAAAGTTCCTTATGAAAGAGTAACATTTACAAGATCTGAACATTAAAATTGACTTCTATAAGCCTGATTTTACCAACACTTATTATGACATTTACTTGAAGTGATGACCTAGTTTCTAATATTTATTCATTCAGCAAATGTTTATTGAGGTGCTATTAGATATTAGGCATTATGAGAAAATGGAGAAAAATGAATATTCAGCAAGTTTACACTTTTTCCAATGAAAGTGACAGAAAACTGAAAATTATTATCAAAACTAAAAGTCACAAATACTTGGAGATTAAATAGCATGCTAGTGAATAGTCAATGGATCAAAGAACAAATCAAAACATAAATCAGAAATTACTTTGACACAAACAAAAGTGGAAACACTACATACTGAAGTTTATGGGATGCTGCAAAAGCAATTCTACAAGGAAACTTCATAACAATAAATTCTTACCTTAAGAAGTAAAAAAAAAAAAAAAAACCATAAAAAACTTAACTTTACATCTTAAGAAACAAGGAAAAGAGGGCCTCCCTTGGTGGCGCAGGTGGTTGAATGCTGGGCTGTGAAGCTGTCCGCAGCCTCTACAGCGCCGGTTTGATCCCGGCCGGCTGGCGAGGGTCCCACATGGCGCAACAGACCTCTCCTATCTTGCCCGCTGCTCCCCTCAGCAGTGTACTTCGTCCTTCTGCCTGCTCTGCTCCCCGCTCTGGCTCTGGTGAATTCTCTCACCCTCCCGCGCTTCTGACTGTACCCAGTGCTTGTATAAACAAACAAACAAACAAACAAATAAATTTTAAAAAATGCCTCTATTAAAAAAAATAAAATTAAATTAAAAAAAATAAAAATGAACACTGATGGAAAAAATAAAGAAAGAGAAGGAAGGAAGGTAGGAAAGAAAAAAGATTAAAAGAAAAATTTAAAAACAATGTCACTTCAACCTAGGTATTTAATATTCTTTGTATTTTTTAATAAATTATTTTATTTCATATAATTCTTACATCATAGTTCATTTTTGCATAATGTATGCATTTTCATTTTGGTTATATTCCCCATACAATTTCCACCCCCTTTTTCTGACCCTAATCCCTCTTCTCCTCCCCCGACCCCCCACTGTAGTGTGTCTCTGGTCTATAATTGCTTGTTGATTTTGATTTTTCCTTTATTGCAATTAGTCTTTTTCCTGGTCTCTTATCTAGGTTTTCTAGATTCCTGCTATGAGTGAGACCATCCGGTATTTTTCTTTTTCTTTCTGGCTTATTTCGCTGAGCATGATCCCTTCCAGCGCCATCCATGTTGCTGCAAATTGCATGAGTTTATCTTTTTTAATTGCTGAGTAATATTTCATTGTGTATATGCACCACATCTTCTTTTTGTTGACAGATTATATTGTTAGGCCTCTTTTACAAAATGAAAAAATATATAATTTTTTGTAATTTTGGAAAAAGAAGCTTATTTCTTCTTTAATGGAACAAAGAGCTGATTTGATGCAAGGACACCAAGGGATAGGCCACTGGTATTCAGGTTAGAGGCAAATTCCTACATCACCAGGGAATCAGTCGGGTAACAGAGAAATGATGGAACATCAAGACTTAGCTGATGGCCAGATTTGGCAGAAATTCGCTGGGAGGACTCAGATTGACTCAAAATATCTCAAAAGAAAGAACAGAAGTACCTAAAACAAAGTTGAGGATCAAAGTAGAGTACTAGGAAGGGTAGCGATCAGGAAACAGGAGTGAGAGAGAGAGACCAAGGGAAGACAGGACAAAGAAGACTGGATCTTTAACTTAACCAATAAACTCACCACAAGTATCTCTATTGCCAGGAAGTGAAAAGATAAAAGAAAAATGCCACGTTGGAATGGACAGTCCTGTCCCTGCTGGTTATACTTTACAAGGAAAGTGGGTAACAACATTTTGCAACCAGATTCAGTTTGATACAGCAAAGAAAATTGACTGCTTGAAAGGAAAACTCATTTACCTGCTGGGAGACTCGACTCTGCGTCAGTGGATCGAGTACTTACCCAATGTTGTTAAATGTATGTAATGAGTTCATATTCTTTCAGAAATTCAGGCTGAATTTGACATACTTTCAATGACATCTCTATTCTGTCACTTTGACTATTTTGATTCTTACTTCATTTAACTTTACACAATTTGAGTCTTTTAATCTGCAATATATTGAATTTACTTTTTCATAAGAAATTCCAATGAATTCCTCTTTATAAATTCCAATACCTGGGCCTCCCTGGTGGTGCAAGGGGTTAAGACACAACCTATGCAGCTATCCACAGCCACTGCAGCAGCATGAGTTTGATCCCCGGCCAGGGAGGCGACCCACATAATGCAGCAGACCTCTCCTGACTCACCTGCTGCTCCCCTCAGTAAACGTGCCTCTTCTGCTCTCCAATCTGTCTCTGGTGAATCTTCTCACCCTCCGCACCTCTGGCCTGTACCCCAGTTCTTGTACTCATTTATAAGTAAATCTTTAAAAAATATTCCAATGGCTACTGTACATTTTGATTGATTATTTCACACACCGTATTAACAGGCACTCTACCCTAGAGGTAGGACTAAACCACACAAAAATAATACAGATGGGTGAGAATTTCCAATGATTGAGTATTCTTATGAAAAATGTTAATCCTGACCTTCTCATTTAAAAGGTTTCTTTTTTTCATCAGCACTAAAATTTTTTGATCTTCATGGAACTGGAGTATTTAAGAAACATTTGCTTCTGGATGCAGAAAGACATATTCAGATTCAGTGGAAAAAACACAGCTATCCTTTTGTGACTGTTCAACTCTACTCTGTGAAGGATGAGGCTTATATTCCTCAGGAAATTGACCAGATACCAGGTGATGAAAATACAGCCATTGTCATCACAATTGGCCAGCACTTCAGACCCTTCCCCATTGAAATTTTCATTCGAAGGGTCATCAATATCCGAAAGGCGATTGAACGACTGTTTCTAAGAAGCCCAGCCACTAAAGTGATCATTAAGACAGAAAATATAAGGGAGATGGACGTAGAGCCAGAGAGGTTTGGAGATTCCCTGGGTTACATTCAATATCTTACCATGAAGGACATTTTAAAAGATCTCAAAGTGGGAGTCATTGATGCCTGGGACATGACCATTGCATGGGACAGCAAAATTATCCACCCGCCTGATCCTGTGATTGAAAATCAGATTAATATGTTCTTAAACTACATTTGCTAAAGCATAATATGCCAAATCTCCAGGGAAATATTCATAAGTAGCTCCATTTTTATTGTCAGAGAAGTTTTACTTATTTTATTTTTTAAAAGATTTGTTTATTTATGCATATAAGAACTGGGGTACAGGCCAGAGGTGTGGAGGCTGAGAGGATTCACCAGAGACAGAGTCAAGTTTCCCATACAAATATCAAAATGAAGGTGCTTTGGAGATAAAAGAGGACAGTTAAGTATAGGAGCAATGTCTGGAATAGTTTCAATCAGAAGTCATTGGGGTCCACCCACTATGGAAAGCTGTCTGGAGGTTCCTCAGTCTACTGAAAATGGAACTACCATATGACCATAGATCCTAGGGATCTACCAAAGGACACAAAGACAGTGATTCAAAAGACCACCTGTACCCCTATGTTTATTGCAGCACTATTTACAATAGGTAAAACCTGGAATCAGCCTGAATGCCCCAAAATAGATGACTGGATCAAGAAGATGTGGTATATATACTCAATGGAATATTATTCAGCAATCAAAAAAGATAAACTCATGCCATTCACAGCAACATGGATGGAGCTAGAAGGAATTATGCTCAGTGAAATTAGCCAAAAGGAAAAAGAAATATATCGGATGGTTTCACTTCTAGCAGGAATATAGGGGAACCAAATAAGACATCAGTGTAAAAAAAATAATAACAGTACAAAACACAACAAAACAAAAACAGGCAACTATAAATCAGAGACATCCTGCAGGGGAGGAGGTGGAGAGGGATGAGAGGGAGGGAGGGAGGAGCACAGGGGACTGAGGTGATGGTGCACAGGTGCCTTGGGGAAGGAAATTCTATGGGGACTCAATCTGAGGGCGTGGGGGGAAGCAAATATTGTCAAAAAAATTTAAAAATTTTAAATGTTAAAATAAAGAATAAACAAATAAATAAAAGCAAAACAATAAAATAATAAAAATAAATAATAAATACAAATAAAAAATAATTAAAAATAATAAAGTGATTATTGATATATAGGTATTAAAAAAATAAAGGTAGGATTTTCTTCTTGGAATACTCCATGTGCTTCCTTGGCTATCTGGGTATAAAGCAGAGCAGCAATCCACTGTTACCCGGGTGGTGGACTGAGCCAGTCCTTAGGGTTTTATGCCTCGGCAGACCCTGGAGGAGCAAGGTTGATGTTCCCGAGACAGCCGTTGGCCCCTGCCCCTGGTCTCAAAGCTTCTCAGAGGTGTTGATGCAGCACTTGGTAAGGGAGAGGGCAGCACAATGAAGATGGTGCCAACCAGCTGATACATCCAACCTAAAGGTTTATACCAGAGTATAAAATGTGTGGATTCCATCACTGCATCCTAACAGGGTACAGCTGGCCTCCCAGGAGGTTCGAGGCTTCCAGGTACTTATACACCTTGTGATTCCAGGCCCTAATTGCCCTGATATTGTTCAGCATCACGCTAATCCACAGTCTGTCTCTCCTCCTGGCATTCATGTGAGAAGAGAACTCTCAGCAGGAGAACTGGAGGAGAGAAGCCCCAGTGGCATGGCTGGGGGATCTGCCAGGGCAGTGTCAGAACCCACACATGGTCCTGCATGCCACTTTGGTGCCAGCTCCTTTCCTGCCCAGCACTCCTTTTCCTTCCGTTCCTGCTCCCCAACTCTTGGTTTTCTGTTCACCTCCTTCCTTCCTTAAGAGAGATGCCTTCCATGAGAAAGCACAGGATGACCCCAGCACTGTCCTTGGAACATTTATATTCACCCCTAGTTCCTAGCACGGGGTGAGGTACATAGTAGCACCCGGTTACTATTTATCCAACGAATGAAGCTGCATCTCTATAAATCCAAACAAAGCATGAGAGGTGGGATACATACAAAAAGAACACTGCACATTAATAACTAATCAAGTGGGCAAATCATCTGTAAACCAAGAGGAGGAAGAAATAATATAAAACATGAGTGACAGGGAGGAGGGAATAAGTCCCTTCATCTAGGAAGGGGTCACGGATAAAATTCTGTGTTTACAGTGAGAATAACTGCTGACATTTCTTTACACCTACTACTTTGTGGGTATGGAGGGAGGGGCATGAAGCCTAGTTTACAAAATAGGGAAGGGAGAAATCATCTATGAATCAAGTAGCCTGAGTCTTCCAGGCTACTAATTACCTTGTCTTCTATTTCCCTCCTTTTTGATCCTGCAATATAGTACATGCTGAGAACCTAAAAGGTCCCAACGAAGAAAGAAGCCCTTGGAGCAACCGTCAGGAAAAAGGAGGCTCTGTTCCAAGAATCATACATTCAAGCAATACTTATTTACTCAACTATTGAGATGGGGTGTGTAAACAAGGTCCCAATGCTAAACAAGGTCCTGTCTGCAAAGAAGGGTATGTAAGAGGGAATACTGGTAAGTATCAAGCTCCTGCAGGATGTGTGACAGCTGCTGTGAAAGGGTCCTGGTGGGGAAACAGAGTCAGCTGCCCCAGAGTTGAGCCTTCAGAGAAAGCTTCCCAGAGAAAGTGAGATCTCAACCTAAGGGAGATTCGAGGACATCAGAAGAAGGCCAGGAGCGCCACCTAGAGGGAAGGAAGGGAGAGGAGGGTTCCCGAAGAAACAGCCCCAGACCCTCCCTAGTGTGCCCTCCTGTTTACAAATGGGATGACTCATAAAATATTGCTGGCATTTATGTTAGGATGAATTGTGCAAACCACTTGTACAATTGTCAGTGTTCCATGAAGGTTAGAAAGAAAAGGTTTCCTCAATTTAGTCAATAGCATTTCACTGAGAATTCAGTCTATCCCAGGTCAGACCAAGAACCTAGCATTCAATTGCCCAGGGATGTGTTTTCGGTGAGAAGGTTATTCTAATAGGGAAAAAGTTAATATTCCCTCAGTTCACCCATAACTTTGTAACCTGAGGCTGGTGACAAAATTAACCCTATTTTGTGTCAGTTTGTGTCCCCAATTAAATTTTAAATTCTTGTGAGTAGGGACTAAGCCTAGGACAAGACAGATTCTAACATATTTGTCAAACAAATGGATAATTGTTGACTACATTTTAAAGAAGTATCACGGTTTCTGAAATGTCTACAAGTTTTTTTTTAAATGCCAGTCTCCTCCCCGTGTGACTTAGCTGGATGTTGGGGGATGAGAGTGACTATGGAATGGAAAATCTCTTTCCAAACAAAATAGATGCAAGAGCACCCTGAGCTGCAAAGAACAGGAGGGCTGTGCTGTACGAGTTTCGCCTGCTCAGCCTCTGCACCATCTCCAAGGGCTGTGGTCATATCAAGGAACGCACGCACGCACGCATTGCCTGCCTTTGAATCTTGACTCCTACAGCTATTAATTTTCTGACCATAGACAAATTCCTTAACACATCCCTGCTTCTTTTTCTAATTTACAAAGTGGAAGTAAGATAGGACCTACCTTAAAGACTTGTTTCCCTGTGTTCACTGAGTACTTAGATTCCTGGCTAAGTCCTCATCGTCTCCAAAAATATTCTTCATTACCCTGAAAGAATTCAAATCCCACATACAAACTAATTCAAACCTGTCCGGTCATTTTTCTTTCTAATTACCATTGACCTTCACTTCTGAGCTATTTTGACAATCCACCTGGAGGGCCACCCCCTGGTCATCACTCTAGTGACATCGCACCCTCAATTATTGCCTTTTAGTTGTCTGTGTTTCTTAGAGTCTCACTCTCATTAAAAGACACTGAGTTCACTCACTAATTCAGGAAACGAAAATGTATGGAATGCCTTTTATGTCTCAGGCACTGCCTCCCTGTTTCTTCCATTCTCATTCAACTTGTAAGACTCCTCCTAGCCCCATTTCCCCTTTCTTCCTCCTACCCCAGGCTTAGCAGTTACTTCACTACATTCTCCCCTAAACTCTCAAATTCATTGAACATATATTTTCTATTTGAAGTCTCAGTTTCCTCAAAGGAAAGCATATCTTAATTCTATTTTTCTATAACTTTTTTTTAAAGATTTATTTATGCGTACAAGAGCTGCGGTGCAGGCCAGAAATGCAGGGCCAGAGACAGAGTAGGGAGCAGAACAGGCAGATGTACTGAAATACACTGCTGAAGGGAGCAGCAGGTGAGACAGGAGAGGTCTGCTGTGCCATGTGGGTCACATCCCTGGCTGGAGATCGAATTTGTGCTGCAGTAGCTACGATTGCGTCATAGTACTTAACACCTTGCGCCACCAGGGAGGTCCCGCATGTCTTAATTCTTAATTTGCCTCTTGGACAATTTCAGTCTTCTGAAGCTTAAAATGATAGGGATATTGTTCCACTACATAATGTACATTACTGGAGGTTACAAATTAATTTGCATTCTTACCTCATAACACATAGCAAATAAACCTCTGGTTATTTACAGATTCAACCACTTTTTCCCTAAATCCAACTATTACAACAAACTAAGGGGATAGAGTTCCTATGAGGTATTCTTTTAAAAATGTAGACCAATTACAGCTAAACGAAAGTGGCAAAATCTTGCAAGCAGAATATGACAGTTTCTGAATCCATACAACTATAGCACTCATCTAAAGCAAAGCAAAACTTTGGAAATTATGATTAGAAAATAAAATACAAATATTATAAGCTGTGACAATGTAGAAATGTTGTAAGTAAAATTTGGAGGACAGGCAAGAAGATTTCCTGTAGGGTGGTATTAAAAGATACTTTTTTAGAGCTAATAAGTAATATATGCTTATATATTCATATATATAAACAGATGTGTGAAAAATATGTTTGCTTTAATAAACAAGTTATATATAACCAATATATATAACATATCACATACTATATATAATTATATATAATACATACTAGATATTATAATATACTGGTATACTGTACTATAGAATATATACACACACTATATATATACTACATTGTATACACACTATATATATATATACTGTATTATATATACACCAGATAACACATATGCTATGCATAACTATAATATACTATATATAACATATATAATTTATTGATTAAAACA